AATACGCATCAATTTTTGCGTTTTTATACTCTGTTCCATTGTCACTTCTTAGCTTTTGAATTTGGTTATGTAGAAGAACTTGAATCTTGGTCATCAGCTTAATTAGCAACTCTTGGACATCTGATTTCTGCCTTACAAACTCAATCCAAGTATATCGTGAATATTCATCAATTAAGACAAGGATATACTTCTTACCAGACAAGCTCTACACAGAGATTGGACCACAGAGATCCACATGAAGCATATGCAGAGGTCTGACACAGGATATATCTGTCTTTGTTTTGATGGATGATCTTTTGAGCTTTCCCATTTCACACACAGAGTAGAGATGGTCCTTTTCGAACTTTATGGCAGGAAGTTCGTCAACCAGATTATTTTTCACAAGCTTCTCTATATTTTGGAAATTTAAATAAGACAGCTTGTGATGCCAGAGCCATGCTTCTTCACACTTACGAGATACGAGACAGAGAATCTCTGAATTATCTCTTGGTGAGAAGTTCATAAGATATAGATTTCCCTTACGTTTGGCTCTTAGCAACTCCTGACCTGATTCTAACATAATAGAACAAGCTTTCTTTTGGAACTTGACATTGTAGCCAGAATCACATAGTTGACTTATGCTCAAAAGATTGTGTTTAAGCCCAGAGACATAAGCAACCTTAGAGACAAAAACCTAACCTTGAAGAAGATCTCCATATCCCTTTATCTCTCCTTGCATATTATCCCCAAAGGTTACTCTACCTCCAATTTTCCCTCTGTATGAGGAGAGTAACCTCTTATTGCCGTTCATGTGTCTCGAGCATCCGAAGTTGAGATACCAAATGTCCACATGCGGCTTCTTCAAAACAAATTATAGGGATTTAGGTACCCATTTCATAATGGGTCCTCGATGGTTAGGGTTAGAAGATTGGTTTTTAGTTTAGGGGAGAGGTTTTGTCTTTGCACCTATTCGCTTTAGGAGCTTTCTTTCTCTTCTGGGTCTTCTTGGAATTTATCCTCGATGACCCAGAGAGAATACAGTTAGGATTAGAGAAATGCTGCTTCAAATTTTGCAGCAGAGAGAAACATTCACAAGTATGAACACAATTTTCATGACAAATGACTTATTTTATTTAAAGAACATATTATTACAATCATTCCTAGCATTGGTAGTTCTAACAAATTTCCTATCTAGATCTGATTGTTTTGACTTCTTAGAATGAATCTGCTAAGTTTTCTTCTTATCCCTTCCTATGCCTTTGGCCTTCAGAGGCCTCTCTGAAATAGAGGAATTAAGATTAGAGTCAGCAGCAGATTTTCCCTTTTGTTCCGGAGTGACCTTAATTGACATGTTGAAACTTCATACCAAGGCTATAGGATTGACTATTGCAGACCTCAAGGGGATAAGTCCCATCATTTGTCAACATAAAATTATTTTAGAGAAACATTTCACCTCCATTGAGCCTCAAAGAAGGCTAAATCCTGTCATGAAGGAGGTTGTCAAAAAGGAAATATTAAAATGGCTTGATGCTGGCATAATTTATCCTATTGCTAGTAGTACATGTGTCAGTCTTGTGCAATGTGTACCCAAAAAGGGTGGAGTCACTGTTGTACCAAATGAGAAAAATGAACTTATACCTACTAGAACAGTAACTGGCTAGAGGATATGTATGGACTATAGAAGGCTTAATAAAGCCACTCAAAAAGACCATTTTCCATTACCCTTCATAGACCAAATGTTATATGAACTAGCATGAAAAGAGTTTTATTGTTTCTTAGATGGCTACTCTGGTTATAATCAAATTGCCATAGCACCAGATGACCAGGAAAAGACTACTTTCACATGTCCGTATGAAACTTTTGCTTTTGGAAGAATGTCTTTTGGACTTTGCAATGTTCCTGCCACTTTCCAAAGGTGTATGATGTCTATTTTCTCTGATATGTTAGAACACTCCATGGAAATTTTCGTGGATGATTTTTCAGTATATGGGACATCATATGACCTGTGTTTGCAAAACCTTGAAAAAAGTCTTAAAAGATGTGAAAAAACAGATTTGATTTTAAACTGGAAAAAGTGTCACTTTATGGTAAAAGAAGGCATAGTGTTAGGGCATTTAACTTCCAAAAGAGGCATCAAAGTTGATAAAGCAAAGTTAGAGGTAATTGAAAATTTTCCTGAACCAACAACTGTAAAGGGAATCAGAAGTTTTTTTGGGACATGCAGGTTTTTATAGGAGGTTTATTAAAGATTTTTCAAAAATATCAAAACCTCTTTGCTTATTATTACAGCATGACCATGTTTTCAATTTTAATGAAGATTGTAGAAAGGCTTTCAACATTTTAAAAGAAGCATTGGTCACTGCTCCTGTGGTAATAACACCTTATTGGGTCCAAACCTTTTAAAATAATTTATGATGCCAGTGACTGGGCAGTTAGATTTGTTTTAGGTCAAAAGAAAGAAAAGATTTTTCATCCTGTTTATTATGCAACCAAAACTCTTAATGATGCTCTGATCAATTACACCATTACTAAAAAGGAATTATTAGCTGTGGTTTTTGCTTTTGAAAAATTCAGATCCTACTTGATGGGAACCAAAGTGATTGTTCATACTGATCATGCTGCCATCAAGTACCTTGTTTCCAAAAAAGATGAAAACCCTAGGTTAATAAGGTGGGTCTTGCTTTTGCAAGAATTGGATTTGGAAATCATTGATAGAAAACGGGTGGATAATCAAGTAGCTGACCATCTGTCAAGATTAGAAAAACAAGACAAACCAGTACAAGGTTGTGACATCTGGGAAGTATTTCTAGATGAAAGGATTTTAGTTCTTCAACATACTACAGTACCTTGGTTTGCTGATCTTGTTAATTACTTAGCTTGTGGGATTATTCCTAAAGAATTTAATAAATATCAAAGAAAGAAGCTCATCTATGATTCAAAGAAATATTTATGGGATGACCCTTTCTTGTTTAAAATATGTACAGATCAGGTGATCAGAAGATGCATCCCAAAAGAAGAAGTGGCATCAGTTCTATAACACTGCCATGTAGGACCTTATGGAGGACATTTTGGAGAAAGTAGGACAGCATCCAAAGTTCTACAATCAGGACTATACTGGCCTACTTTGCACGATGATGCTCATAACTTTGTAAAATGTTGCAAATGAGTGTCGGAGAAATGGAAATATCTCTAGAATAAATGAAATGCCTTTAAACGGAATTCTAGAAATAGAATTATTTGATGTTTGGGGTATAGACTTTATGGAACCTTTTTCTCTGTCCAATAATTGTGTCTACATACTAGTTGTTGTGGACTATGTGTCCAAATGGGTGGAAGCTATGGCTTGCCATTCCATGATGCTAAAACGGTTGTCAAATTTTTGCAAAAGCACACATTCACTAGATTTGGTACACCTCGTGCCTTAATTAGTGATGAAGGTACTCACTTCATAAACAACTTATTAGAAGAAGTTCTTGACAAGTATGACATTAAGCATATGGTAGCAACTACCTACCATTCTTAGACCAATAGATTAGCTGAATTGTCAAATAGATAGATAAAAGGGATTTTGGCCAAAGTAGTCAAACCACATAGAAAGAATTGGACCTCTAAGTTAGATGATGCTTTATGGGCATATCAGACTACTTACAAAACCCATATTGGTATGTCTCCCTACAAATTGGTCTTTGGAAAAGCATGTCATTTACCCATAGAATTGGAGCACAAAGCCTATTGGGCTATTAAGGAGCTTAATATGAATTTAGATGAGGCCGGGAGAAAAAGAACTTTGCAACTCTGTGAACTGGAAGAACATAGGAATTTTTCTTATGAAAACGCTAAATTATACAAGGAAAATACAAAAAAAAATGGCATGATAAAAAGATTTTTCCAAAAGAGTTCACTGAAAGTCAAAAAGTCTTGTTGTTTAATTCTAGGTTAAATTTATTTCCTGGAAAATTAAATTCCAAATGGACCGGACCTTTCGTTGCTGCAAAAATATACCCCTACGGAGTAATTGATTTGATAGATCCAGAAAGGGGTAGTACTTTCAAAGTAAACGAACAACGGGTAAAACATTTCTTTGATCTCATGGTTCTTATACAACCTGTTGAGGTTATTTTTCTAAAATAATAGATAATTGTAAATACTAATTTATATATATATATATATATATATATATATATTATTTTATTTTCCCTTTAAATATTTTTTTTAAATTGAATTTTAATTTTTAGATAAAACTTTAGTTTTTTTTTTTTTATTTTAGAATAATTATATGTTTCTTTTATAATCTCTAAGTTATTTGTTTATCTTAACTTAGAATTTGTATTCAAAATTTTGGGTTAACCTTATTTGTCTCTGGGCCAAAGAATGATCCAACAACCTGCAGCCCACTTTTTCCTTAATCTTGTTGTTAAGCAGGCTCGTGAAGAAGCCCAATTCGAAGCCTGCATTTGATACAACCCGTCTTAGAGCCCAAGTTTTGTACGACTCTAGTCCGTTTGCTGTCTATTCGTCTTCAGCCTATCAACTCTCTCAGTCTCACAGTACTCTCCATCGTACGAGCTCCGTAAGCCACAGCTCATCTCGGCCACTTTTTCAAAGTGATAAGACCATCCATACGCGGGTTTCAATTTGAGTTGCATTCACTGTTGTGTCAGGAAATTGAAAGCCACGTGAGATTTGAGTTTCAATATTTGCAAGTCACTTTGCAATGCCACATGGCTCCCTCTTGCCTCCAATTTTCTTTTTCTTCTTTTAATTATTTAAATAAACTATTTTTATACAAAACAATTAATTTTATAAATTAATAATGTTAATATATTTTTAATTACATTAATTATATAATAAATTAAATTATTTTAAACATTAAATTTTATAATTACATAAAATTATAATCTAATATATAAAATTACATGTAACTAACATAAAACACGCACGACTAACAAAACAACACGAATAAAATTACATGTTTATTCGTCTAAAAGTTGATCGAATTTTTTATCGTACAATTTTCGTTGTTAGTCTGTCATAGTTGAAGGATCCATTTCCATCAATCTGATTGCCAATTCTTCTTTTTTAAGTTGATCTTTCATCTTCTCCCGTTCTTCTTTCTTTCTCTCTCGTTCTTTTATAGCTTCCGTATATTTGTTCATTGCTTCTATTTTTTCAGCATCAAGATTGAATTGTTCTTTCATCGCCTCTTCGATACGGTCGATAGAGTTAGTTGATATAGATTTTTGTTTACCTTTATCCTTTGAAGCTTTCCTTCCCATTGGACGAGCAGTCGACGTTAGCTCGGGGGTCGACGTGTTTGTATTTGAGGATGATGAGGTATATTGGCCCGAGCCATCATTTTTTGTCCTCTTTGACCCCCTATCTTCTACTAGATCAACAACCTCCAGAGGTCTTTCTCGTTGACTGATCCATTTTTCTTGATCACGCAATTCAACCCAACCATGCAAGAAGTTGAATTTTCCACCTTCTAACGAGTTATATAACTCTAAAGCCCTGTTTTTTTTGTCTTCTTCATTCAGCCCACTTTCACGTCGGTGTAGGATCTGTTCATAACAACCAACAAACTTTGAAACGGCATGATTTATTCGACTCCAACGATTTTGAAGTGCTTGACGATTCCTACTAGTTTGAGAAATCGTGTCACGATTCACATCGTAATATTCAAGTATACGCTGCCAAAAATTTATCCTACTTTAAAAAGTACCAACTGTTGCATCTTTGCCTATGTTGAGCCAAGCACTACACAACAATATGTCATCTTTGGTTGTCCATCGATTTTTTTCATTTTTAGAACCGCTTGCTTGCTCCGGCACGAGATTTGGTTGTGAAGAAAATTCTAGAAATTGAGAAGGAGGAGGAGTAGGATTTGGGTAAAATGACATTTGAAAATTTAGTGGATAGTTAGGATTTTGGTACATCGGCATTTGAAAATTGTTAGGGTTCATCATAGGAAAGTTAGGAATAGGATACATTGGAGTAGGAGGATTTATGTTTTGTGCATCATCATTTGGATTATGGGATGAAGGTTGGGAAAAATTGAAAAATGGGTTGAACTGGGGCTTTGATGGATCCATTAGAAGTAGAAAATGCAGAGATATTGAAGATTATGAGAGTGAATATGATGGTGTATTTTGAAACACCGAGCCCACACTATATATAAGGGTAATGGTAACCGAAGTCAAGGGGTGAACAGTAGCCGAAGTCACGGGTGAACAGTAGCGGAAGTCACGGGTGAACAGTAGTCGCTAAGAATTTGATATAAATACAATTATACGTGACCTTATTAACCATAACACTTTAGTTTTTTAAAATGTCTGAGTCTGAGAGTGAGTATTCTTCATCTTCTTCGTCTTCAACATCAGAAAAATTTGTTGAATGGCTTCTTGATGATTTTTCCTCCAAACTTACTATCCACTATGTTGCCTTACAAAAACAACAAATAGTAGATGCAACTTCTACGTCAAAACGTAAAAAGAAGAAAAGAAGAAATATAGAAAGAAAGCGTGAAGATGGAGATCGACGTCTGTACGAAGACTACTTTTCTKAGAATYCGACATACAATGATGATATATTTCGACGTAGATTTCGGATGCGGAGACCATTATTTCTTCGCATAGTTGAAGGTGTGAAGAATCACGATCGATACTTTGAAAGTGGTATCGATTGTACCGGTAGATCAAAATTATCATCTCTTCAGAAGTGTACTGCTGTGATACGAATGTTAGCATATGGTGTAGCTGCAGATGCCGTTGATGAATATTYAYGAATTGGTGAAACTACAACAATAAAATGTGTTAAGAAGTTTGTACGAGCTATTATTGCAGTGTTTGGGGACGAGTATTTACGAAGACCAAATGTCACTGACCTTCAACGATTACTTTATATTGGGTACCAATGCGGTTTTCCAGGTATGTTAGGAAGTATTGATTGTATGCATTGGGAGTGGAAAAATTGTTCGGTGGCATGGCACGGACAATATGCTAGAGGGGACCATAAAACTCCAACTATTATGTTAGAAGCAGTTGCTTTATAAGATTTGTGGATATGGCATGCTTTTTTTGGGCTTCCAGGCACATTAAATGATATCAATGTGTTAGATCGATCTCCCATCTTCCACGAGGTCTTAGAAGGGAAAGCACCAGAGGTAAATTTCTCTGTTAATGGTAACAACTATAGTTTAGGATACTACCTTGCAGATGGAATCTACCCTAACTGGGCTACGTTTGTGAAATCCATCTCATTGCYCCAAAGTCAAAAACATCAGCAATTTGCAAAAAAACAAGAATCAGCTAGGAAAGATGTAGAAAGAGCGTTTGGCGTATTACAATCACGATTTGCCATAGTTAGAGGTCCATCACGGATGTGGTTCAAGGAAATAATCGGAGAAATATTACGAGCTTGCGTAATAATGCACAACATGATTGTCGAAGATGAACGTGACTCATACATTCGTCAATTTGATTTCACAGATGATGATAATTTCAGTATATCTATGCCTGAAGTTTCTCGAAATCATCTTCCTGAGTATGAAAATTATCTTCGAAGTCATGCAAGAATACGTAACAGGACTCACAACAATCAATTACAAGCGGATTTGGTTGAAGAGATTTGGAGCCGATTTCAAGGAGAAGAAAACAATGATTAATGTAACGTTTTATTTCTATCTATATGTAATATTTTTAATTCAATAAATGTTGTGTTTTGATATTATTTAATAAATTAATGTTTCAAATTTAAAACAATAAATTATGTAATTATTATATTATATTATATCATATATTAATCGTTTTAATTAACATTGAATTAAAATAAAACATGTTATTAATTAAAAAATAATTAGAATGTATATATAAATAATTTATAAAATAGTTAATAAATGTTGTAGTGGGGACCATTTTTGAAAGTATAGGTGAATTTTAGGTGTGTATGTGGTAATTACAAAAGCTGACGTGACACAGTTGAAAGTGTTATAGGTGAATTGCAGGTGTGTGAAAGATAATTACAAAAATTGATGTGACACAATTGAAAGTGTAAATGGATTGAGTGATGTTGATGGTCTAAATACACTACTAAGCAAGGTACGATTTCTGAGTAGTCTAACATCTTCACCCGATACTGTCAATCATCTTAACAAAGTTTGAAGTTTTGAAACCCAAATCTTGGAGAAGAAGCATAGCAAACTTAAAACCCGTTTATTCACTGTTCATGCATCATTTGCATTCCTTCTAAGCCACTGTTCACCAAAATTCCCCAAACCCCCTGTTAGTCATCTTCATTCCTCTGTTTCACCCAAATGGCCATCATCAAGTCAAGGCCACGAAGGAGGGAAGGACCTTCTGAAAATATGCTTCCCGCGAACAATGAGGGTTCTGGAAATCAATCCAGTGACAGTGAAGAAGAACCAATTGATGTTATACCCATTAGGCAGGTTCCTTTTGGTGAACCAAATCTCAACCTCAACTACAATCCCAGCCATAACCTCAACCACGATATTTTGTTACTATTTGAATGACCAGAAGCAGAGCTAAGGGAACAACCAATTTTAAGTCTTTCAAGCAAAAGAAAGGTACTGTTATCTCTCTGTCTGATGACAGTGATTCACCTCAAGAGAGGAAAACCACACAGATCAATGAAATCAAGGCAACAAAAGAGGTTTCCAATTCTTTGGACACTTTGGCAGAAGCTGCTAGCCCACAAATGGTCACGCCATAAATCCCTCCTAACATCACTGCAAGACTCCAGGCAGGTTTGTGTATCACTCGACCCTTGACTATGGATTTGTTGTCTAGCTTCCCTCAATACCCTCAAGCCAGTATCGGCATTATGCTGAGGAAGTCTGTAGATGAGGCCATCACAGCCTCTAATGAAGTCTTAGGACTTAGAAGGGCATCATGTGCCCCTACTGTCACTATGGTCCAGGTTGAACCATCTATGGCTGTAAAAAAAAAGAAATTCATCCCTTAAACAATCTGTTAGTGAGGCCTTGCCAGCCATGAACAGGATGATTAGAGTGGGACCTTCCAATGATCAAGCTCTGACCAATGCACCAATTGAAGCCACCCCTGCACCACAATCTATTAAAGCCACACCCATTGAAATAAAATTCATGAAAGCACCAAACTTTGAACCAAATTCTGTTACATCAACCACTGTGGAACCAATTCCTTTTGAGCCAACCCCTATTGAACCTGTTAACCCTTCCTAAATAGTTTTTAAACCTACCTTTGTTGAAACCACAACCATTGAACCAACACCTATCACTACCAACCCAATCCCTGAACCCATGGACACCACCATCACTGAGCCCATACCTACTAAAACCATAACTCCTTTACCACCCACTGTCTCCATCCAATAAATTAACTTTGCTTTAGGCCTTGCACCCTCAATTCCAACCTTAACACCCTAAACACCTATAGAAAACCCCTCTAAACCCCATAATGAACCTGTTGTTGCATCACTACCACATTTATCCCAATCCACCCAACCCTTTGTGCCTAGTCCCACCAAAACCTTTGTGACAGGTGGTCAAGATAATATGGAACCCTATAGTCCATTTAATTCTGGAGCCCATGACTATTATGAAGGGGCACATTATGTTCATCATAGCCCTGTACACAGCATCCATCATGATGAACAGGAAAGAGATGAGCATGACACTGGTGCTAGTCTGAAAAAGAAAGCAACAAGGGAAAAAGGAATGGCAAGGGTTAATACAAGAAGCATAAAGAGAAGAAGGGTGGTTAGTGAGCAACCTGATGAGGAGGAAGTGAATGTTAGAACAGCAAGGAAAAAGAAAAGGCCAGGGCAACAATTTGATGATGGGCCAGGTATTTATGTAAAGCCCAAGCATTTGTTTAGCACACCTTTAGTAAGAAAAACTTTCTTGCAATTTTTTGAAAAAGTTAGAGTTGTGCCTAAAGGCTTTTCACAACATTTATTATTGGCCAACCCCTCCATTAGAGTTACTACAGATACTTTGGGATGGGAAATTTTGTGTGAAGTACCTAACCAGTTTAACATAAGTTGGGTTAGGGAGTTTTACACTGAGGTTGTTGTGACTGATGGAGTAGATTTGAGAGTTAGAAAGACCCATGTTTCCTATTCACCCAATGCACTCAATGATCTTTTATAGCTTATACCTCCCTCACACTCAAAATTAGATAGACTAACTGCTGGCTGCTCTGATGAAGAATATGATGAGATCTTAGCTAGGGTAGCAAAAGAAGGGGCAGTGTGGAGTTTTAAGGGAAGGACCAGATTGTTGAAAACCCAATATTTGAAACCAGAAGCCAACTTGTGGTTCTATTTCATGAGACATACTCTCCACCCAACTAGCCACGATACCAACCTGTGCTTGGAAAGAGTCCTTATCTTATACTACATAATGGAAACAAAGCCATTTGATGTTGGAAGGATAATATGCTCCAACACTCAATGATCTTTTATAGCTGTCCCAAGTTCTAGCTTTACCTACAGATTTGATCTCTATGGAAAAAACATCCATAGATAAGAAAAACTTGGACAGGCTGTTGAGAGTGAATGCTAAAGCCCAACCTGAAACAGCAACTTCTACCATGGCTACTCTAAAGACTAAATTGTTGAAAGCATTGGAAGAGCACTCCAATGCTTTAAAGCAAACCGTTTTGAAAAAGCATCACAAAACGATGAAGAAGGTAGCTGAGTTGAAGAAAGAAGTGGACATTCTGAAAAAAGAAAGGGTGCAGTGGCTGAGTACAAGATGCAGAAGGAAAGAATCCTAAGAGCTGCCCTGAAGCATGGGAAATCCAAGAGTGCCATCAAGATTTCACCTCCACCAAAGTCTATTTTGTTGCAGCAGACAGAATCTCTTACTCAATCTGAGTAGGACAAGTTCTATCTCCTTCCCACTTTTGTATATACATTTGTTGTTTAATTGTGCATGATCTTTAGGTAGACTGTAGTTTCTATTTTGCTATTTTAAACAATTGCTTTGTTGTTTTAAACAATTGCTGCTTTGTTGTTTTAACAAAATTGCTATTTGTTTTGCTATTTTAACCAAGTACTGTTTGCTCTTAGCATGTTAGCAATTGTTGTGCAATATTTGTTGTTCATAAGAGATAACCCATCTCTTTTGTCAATTATGTCTTAGAGGTAGTGGCATTCTATTCAGACCATTTGGGGCTCTTTGCTGTTTTTACTAAGCTGTTTTTACTTAAGGATAGTTTATTTTGCTGTTTTATCAGTTTGCTATTTATGCATCCTATAATTTAATTTTTTGTCTATTAGTCATTGTGCATAAGAGATGGTTATCTCTTTTGTCAGTTATGTCTTAGGTCCTTAATAGTTTTACTTGTTTTTCATAAGATATGTTGTTTGCTGTTAGTGCCACATCTGTATTCCATTTGTTGTTTTTACTTTGCTGTTTTTACTTGAAGTAAGGTTTGTTTTGCTACTCTTAAGTATTATCTTGGAATTGTTTTGCTTTTTGTTGTTTTAATCATCTCAAGCATGTCATGATTTATGGTGCAGTCCTAAGCCATAAGTCTGCCTGTGTTATGATTTTGTTTTCTGTTCATTGCTGTTTTAAGTGATAATATTGCCCATGATCATGCATTTTCTTTTGCTATTTTGAACATTGCTTACTTCACTTATGTTTGCCAAAATAGACTCTGTTTGCTCAAACATTTTATTTGTTGTTTTATCCTTATGAAGGGTTCAAACGATATTTGCTGTTTTGAGCTGCTTAATGTTATGACTTGTTTGTCTCACTTGAGGCTTCTTGTTGTATTCAAATAGGGTTGAATTGTTGTTTGTTGCATCTGTGACTGTCTTGGGCAGGCCCTCTTTGGCCTTCCTATACTATTTTATGGTAGAACAATGGCAATCCCATTGTTTGGTCTTCCTTTGATCTATTTAAAGGAGAAGCAGTCCTTTATTGGATTGATTATTAGTTTCATGCTCATCCTTGGCTCATCCTTACTCTAGGGTCACTATGACCTAGAGTTGGATTGTTAGTCTTTGCTATTAAGTCTTTTCTTTGAGTCTTGAGTCTTTTTAAATCTCAAAGATGATCAAGTCACACTTATGACTCATCATCTTTGCTTTTTTGTTTCAAAAATCTTTAGGATTGAGTCTTTTTAATTTTAAAGATAATCAATTACACTTTTTATTGATCATCTTCGCTTTTTTGTTTCAATCTAGATTTTTGGGAACTGATTTTAGTAGCATGCATTCTTTTGGCCATCTATGCACCAAAAATAGAATAAATGAGAAAGTTGTTGTACAAATGCTTGACTTGATGCCATAGCCACAATAATCCAAAGCTTATCCATCTTTGTCTTTAATTAAGCCTTTAGAACTAGCCAACCATTTCCAAAGCTTTACATTGATTCAATTGGGCTTTCATTTCAATTGGCCAATTTGTAGCCTTGATACAATCACAATGAGGTTGATTCAATTGGGCTTTCATTTCAATTGGCCAATTTGTAGCCTTGATACAATCACAATGAGGACATTGTTTCCCTTAAGTTTGGGGGAGGGTCCTAAAAACACTCAAAACACTATATCACATGAAATATGTGCATTAAAGCCAAAAGTCATTCAAAGAACATAATTCCATGTCTTGTGCATACAAAAGAGTGTCAAAGAACACCAAATTGCTTG